AAACCAACTATTGCAAACTTTAAAAGAAATCTCAAGAAATCATATCTTGACCAAGCAAACCAATATATAATCAAAAAATTCAAGATCTCTATTCCTAATATATCATATACAGATTTTATAGCCACAAATTCTAATACTCAACAACAACAACCACTACAACAACAAAAACAACAACAAGTACAACAACCATAACAACAACTGATCAGTTCTACTACAAAATCTAAAACTTCTAAAACTAACAAACAGCAACAACATCGTTCTAACAAACCTACTATGAAATTTACAATCCCTAATATTGATGAAAGCTTCTTTTTAATTTAAAACTTTCTTTATATTTTATACTTTAACACTTTAACTATATACCTCAGTATATTCTTTTATTTTTCATATACTTTATAACTTTACATACTAAATATAGCCTATTATTTCTCTTTATATTCTATAACTTTATACTATTAAATACACAAATCTTATAGTTTAGCGTTACTTTAAATTCATTCAATTAAATACTCTATCTACTCTATATTTTATTTTTTCTTTCTTAAAAAAATCTAGATGAGTCTTTGACCACTCTAGTAGGTTTAGATCACAGATAAAGTAGTCTGAGCTTTTATTCTTGTATGTAGTTTTTACTTTTATATTTTATATATTAAGGTTAACAACTCTTTGTAGTTACTATGATAAAAACTATTAATAAAGATATGAGCAAGGCCTTACCTTAATACCAAAAAAAAAAAAAAAAACTTATTATCTGAAAATCATCAAAAATACTGGCAAGATTTTGTGTATACTAACGCTTTATGGACACAACGAATAATTAAAATATCTGAAATTAAAAAGACACATAAATTTATTTATTAGTTCTGTGTTGCTATTGAAAAAATTTTGGACCGCAGTTTATTACACCTAATATGCATATATATATTCATTTAAAAGAATACTTTCTTGATTATGGGCCAGTATATAGAATTTGGTGTTTTGCATATGAACGAATGAATAGCAAGTTATTAAAAATTCTAACTTCAAATAGAGATATCACTACAGAAGTTATGGCAGCTATTTATAAAGAGATTACAATTAATACGGTTGCATCAATTTTATTAAACCAATTTTCAGATTCAATTAGTGATTTATTTAAAGTATTTTGTGATTCTTTTTTATCTGTGAGAACGTTAGCTAAATATTCAATACCCGTACAAGATATTCTAAATGTTTATAATATGTCAACCAAAGTTTTTGAACAAAATATCACTGGAGCTGAATTATTCTCTAGAAAGTATCTTAAATCTACATATTTTTCACATTTGGATGATGTTACAAGTCAGCTTCTTGCATAATTTTATAACAAAATTTATGCTAAAAACAGACAAGCATTAATTTTTACTGTATCTTGTGATTATATTCCAAGCCTTAATTCAATTTTAGTAACAGCTACAATTGAGCGAGCTAGAACTATTTGCATTGGAGATGAAAAGTTTGGTTCAATTTCTTCACGATCAAATTTGAACTCATATATAATTGTGGCTTTTATTGATAAAAAAAAGACCAAAACTAGTAAACGATATAAAGTATATCACTGGCCCAGAAAAGTTTTGTATTATTTTAAGCATTGTGTACAAGTTCCAAAAGAAGTTACTATAGAAAATTCTAGAGTTCAAATAGATTTTAAAACAGTAGAGCATCTATTTGCTTTTGTTGATTGGTATAAGGCATCTAGTTGTTGTGATCATTTTTATATATATAATCGTAAAACTGATTACTTTCAATTTGATGAAGGTAGGCATGCCCATAATGGAATATTTTGTGCTGAGTTGTGAAAAAATGTTTTTTACAAATATTCTGTTAATAATATTCTTCCTGTTCAAAAAATTTTTTGTAGATTTTTTAAAGCAGATTACAGATTACATCGATTAACTAAATATATTGTGGTTATTCCAATTAATAAAAAATTGGAATTTTAGTACTTATTAAACTATATTAATTAATTATCATAGAAATTGGTTTTGATTGAGGTTATGTTACTCGAATTACTTTTCAATTTGATTTATTTCTTGAATTATATTTGAATTTCATTATTATTACCTTCATGTTATCTCATCAAAATTTTCTATTAATTAATTGTCTTCATTGCTAATACTTAATTAAATTAATTTATAATCATCATCTGATACATTAAGTAATTAATATCTGAATTGCATATCAGATCATGTGTACAAGCTACTAATGTTATAAAGCGATTATCTGCCTATAAGTATTTATTATTGGTATATACGACTTACGTATATACGTATGTATGCACGTTAATTGAATATTATAGTAACATGTCTCAATATGTAAGCAATTAATTAGGTATATGCGTAGCTGCACAAATAGTCATACCAAACCAGGAACGAGATAGCAAAATCGAAATGTGCATTTCATCGATCACTATACAGATTACTTATTATAGTCATCTGCATAGTAACTACATATGACTAAATATGTATTTTATTCTCTCTAAGATTACTAAATAATTAAGACTACTGTAGCATTGGTTGTACAAAATCACTGGTAGTCTAAATGATAAATGATTAAAGCATTATGAAATTAAATTTGGTAGTAACTGATCAAGGGAGTTAACACTAGTAAAAACTAAAAAAAATCTAATTTGTTAAATAGCATAATTTGCCACTCAATATAACATCTAATCATATTATTATATGACTTTGCGGACATGCATATCTGTAAAACTATATGATAATTAGATTAAATGGTATATTGTGTGGTATTCAAATTATGCATTTGACAAATTAGATTTTTTCAATTTTGAATACTGTAAAAAACACAATAAAATATATTTAAATACAATATATTTATTTATATTTAAATTGTAAATATGAATATTTAACTAAAATTTTATATACTTATAGCCATTAGTTAAATATTAAGGAAATTTAAATTAAATATTAGATAAATATAATATATTTATTTATATTTAAATTGTAAATATGAATATTTAACTAAAA